CCCCTCTTTTCTTTTCAGCCCTCACCTCATAGACCTCCTTGATGCTCTGACCCTCCGAGCCTTAACTGCTGCAGCTCACTGCTATCTGGAAGAATCTGGGAAAAACATCTTACAAACACATCACTGGTTCAGCTGTCAGTGGTATGAATTTCTTCTAGTCTGACGAACCTCGTTGGGATCCCTTTAAATATACAACTAGCAATCCTCCTCAAGACTCCCCCTTGTCCCCCCACAGGCCAGCTCCCACTATCACCTTTGATGAGCCAGAATTTAGAGACAATACTGTATCCTCATCAAATGATTGGTACCCTTTTTATACCCTTGTTTGTCATCCCTGGGTCCCCTCTCCCATTGGCTTAGTATGTACTCTCTAAATTTCCTTAGGCTCAGGAGGGTTTTAACTTTTATACAGACATGGACAAATTTGTGGGTACCTTTTTTACAGCTCATTGAAACAATAATGAATTCCTCCTGACTCCTTGATATAGTGTGTACTGCAGTGGATATGGATCAGTTAAAGTAAACAAGAGAGTAGTCTAAGGATATCCAAAAGGAAATTATAGATCTGAACCCGAAGGGAAAAGTAGCTTGATGTTCCCATGGCTACAGTTGCAGATATTAAGAAGTTTAATGTCCATAGGAGTGTAGCCAACCTCCCTGGATGTGGCCACAAGAGGAAAATCAACCCAGATTGAACAGAAGGATAGTGTGAATGGCAGAGAGAGCCAAGGAAAACCTCCAAAGAGAAACGAGCTGAACTCTATGGTCAAGGTACATCGTTGTCTAATCACACCATCTGTCACGTTTTGAATGACGGGCTGCGTTGATGCATCTAGCATGGACCTTAAATCTGTATAGGGCACAATAAAAACTCAAGACTCAATGAATTTTGGAGCAAAATGCACTGTCTAGTGACCGAAAGCTCTGCCTTAGTCACAGGTCATGGGTCCCAACAGTATAATGACCCAAAACACACGGCAAAGAACAAAACATTGAACTGTTCTGAAGTGGCCTTCTATGAGCCCTGATTTGAACCCTATCGACTGTCTATGGAAAGAGATAAAACATGGAGTCTGGAGAAAGAAACCTTCAAAACTGTGACAGCTGGAGCAGTTTGCTCAAGAATAGTGGGCCAAACTATTTGTTGGCAGGTGTAGAATTCTTATTTAGAGCTGGAGAAATTGCTTGCTTGCAGTAATGACCCCTAAAGGTTGTGCAACAAAATATTAAGTTAAGGGTCCCATTATTTTTGTCCATTGCATTTTTATTTGTTTTTTATATTTTGAAGAATTCTGTTGAATCAAAAACAAAGTCTGATTTTTATTAAATTGGGAATAAACAATGCCTACTATTGGTCAATTTTGCCTTATTTCAGAGAAAATTGTAGATTCTACATTTCCGCGGAAGGATATCAACAAATTTGTTCATGTTTGTAATAAGGTTATTTGATTATTAACTCTGAGCATACCTCACTCATGCTGTCGCGTGCTTCCTCCCAGGTAGGGGAGGCCCTACTCTCATCCATGTTTCGGGGTGAGTAGTTCTAAAAGCTTTACAATGGTAAACTAGGGACTTAATCCCTACCACCCTACAGGTGAAACTCGAATAATGTCTCCCTAATGCCAAGGTCCTTATCTCTTTTGAAAAAGGGGTGAATAATCCTTAATAATCTTAAAACTTTGGGGGCAATGTTGCAAATATCCAAGAAACACACTTAAGGGAAGACAAGTCTCCCTTCCTGGGGACAGGCTTTTTCCCATTTCATATCACAGTTGTACCAAGGAGGCAAAATCTGAAAGGGTCTCAAAATGAATTGCTAATATACCCTGGGTGGCACTAGACTCGCATAGCAGGGACAATGGCAGAAACCTCTTTCACAAAGGTTCCATAGGCAACACTAATTTAACCCTGTCGGCAGTATGACCAGAACGTTAACCAAGATTACTTTATTAAAAGTATCTTAGACAAGCTGATTGCTTTTGCTGAAGGTATCCTTATCCTAGATGCATATCCTGATCTCCCCCGATCACAATATTGACACATCCTTCAGCACATCCTCCTTCCCCCAAACCTCTTGCATTGCCTACATACTCCGTAACGCGCTGTACTTTTAGATTGAGCTCTTCTTAGTCCATCACAGGAATATCCATCTAATAGCAAAATTGGACATAGTCAACATAACAGAGGCAGATCAAATCCCAGTGTTAATACAAGTCGCGTTAATAGCTGACAGATCTCCCAGAGCCTGGCACTGGTGTTTAAACGAAAGCTTCCTACAGAATCTCCAAATCCTTGAGGATGTAGCTAAGGAATTAGACCTGTATTCTCTACATAAACTGCTGACAACAGTGATCCCATGTTAGTTTGGAAGCTTAGCTTGGAGGATCTTAATTAAGCACGCATTCATAGTTAAATGGGAAGCCAAAATCAATCAACTATTCAACAACATTTACCATTTAGAGGCTAGACACAAAAACACAGACTAGACCATGCTACAGAGTTGGAACTCTCATTCCTCAAACAAATCAACTTTCTGAATCAGCCTCCTAGCTAAAGCCTCAAGAGACAGCTCCTCTATTGTATTCCCTTCTATCACTACTCTACGGGGCAAAAACATAGGCTATTCGAAAGACCTAGCAAACACCATTGGTGCCCTCTACTCGTCTCAATACAACCTTCAGGACAACATCTCACACTCTCTCCCTTCTCAGTCCAAAGCTGACAAAAATGTTTTCTTCTCTAAGCTGCTCAAACTAGACACCCCGTCTACAGCATGACAAAATGGCCTGTTAATACAATATTGAAAAATTATACTACCCCATCTGGCTCTTCACTTTACATAGGCTCTCAACTCTCTAACTCATCACTCACAAGTCTCCTAGGACTCATTAAGGGCTCACATCACAGCTATTCCCAAACAAGTGAAAGACCCTTCTAGTTCGAGCTACCACAGTATCTCACTTTTAAACGATGACTTGAAATTGCTGATGAAAATCCTGGCTGTCTCCTCCCACTTGTTAAAGACCTAAGCTTCACGATCATGAACCTATAGTAGAATGGTCCCCTGGCTGTACTAATAAATGATTAATCACTGATCATAGCCATTCATGCCAAATGTGACCCTGCACCTTTTTGATATGATTTCTGTGTGGTGGGCATAGCATATTCATATAAATGGGCTGCCCTAATGGAGACCACTTTAATGCACACAAAAACATTCATCAATGTGTACGTTCACTACAGAAGCACATAATGTGGACCTAGACTTAAACAGCACACAGAATTCACACATTAAGTAAACATGTGCAGTGCCATACCAGCAGGTGCGCATTATCCCACTGCTTGGTTTTTTTTTAATACAGTTTTTTAGATTTAGTAAGACTTTTAAGTTAATGATAGTATTTTTTTTCATCGAAAATATAATTTTGGTAAACATTTGCACAACTATCACAAAACCTATAAAATCAGTAGTACCATTTTTTTTTTTTCTATGGGCAGGGGTGTTGGAGTTTTTAAAAAAACTACTTGTCCAAAGACCAAAGCGGGGGCCAATGTACTTGTCCCTCATGACAATCTACTTGTCTTGATACAAAAAAATAATTTCAACCAAAACCGTATTTAAATAAGGTTTTTATTGATAGCAACTTAGAAGACAGACCTAAGAATACTTTATTGTAATCAACAAACATGAGGCATAGACCTGCATCCAGCACATGCGCCGCAGCTTGGACACCACTGATCTAAGCACACAATCTATTCATCACATTCAAAGCCAATCCAAAAGTCACAAATCTAGCGGCGTAAACAGACCGGGTGCAAACTGTGTGCACATCACACGTTACACCATTTTGCACGTGCGTAATTACATCACGTGCACATCACTGCTGTCAGCCATTTTGGTGATGGACACCAGCAGAGAGGAGGGGATGTTTATATGGCGGGATAAGGTATGCTGCTGGGTCCCCCCCTCTCTCGTGCAGCTCAGGCTCCGGATCCATGACAGAGTGCCTGACTTTTCAGAGGGGGTGACCCCAAAATTACGTTTTGTGGAACCCAGTCACGGCCTCACCCCCATTGTGACGCCTCTGAACAAATCTCACCAACTGACTTGGATCCAAACCTGCAAAAGTCATCAACATGACTGCCACAACAACAGCAACAAGGATCAGAGTGCTGTGGCACACATTGAGCCCATCTCCTGTCATCTGAATAAAATCTGAGCCCATGGAACCCAGAATCAGGTTTCAAAACACAGTGAGCCCGCTCCCTGCCATGCCTCGAGCTGCCTTCCATCCTTGATCAGTAAATGATTTCTGCCTGGGAAAAGTGCAGAAAAAGTTTAGTCAACAGCTATATTGCAGTGGCGACAATGGCAGAGTACAGTAGAGTAGGGGGATCACCGTCATCTGGCTCACCTCTAGGGCTGAGCCTTGGGCGGGTTGCAGTCCCGCTGCCTCTGGTTTTCAAACTGGAACTTTCTCTTCGCAGCCGGTACTTGCCACGGTCCCCAGGGTTCTCCCCTTCACAGGAACCGTGCCAGCATGTCCAGGTCCCCACCTTGCTGCAGAGCCTTGCACACACAGGCAACAAGCTCTGGGGAAAAGGCTAGCGTTAACGTGCTCTCCTCTAAAAGCAAATGTGAAACCTACTAAAAAAAACATGGTTTTATTAGATCAATTTTATTTTTTCTCAGGGCAGGTCCCTTCTGCATGAAGACCCTTCGACCCTTGAATCACTCAGTGTTCACCTGAGATCCATGTTTGCATTCCTCAACCTACTCCAGGAGGCTCACGACACTGCCAATTACAAACGCTAGCAATGCAGCAGTTGGAAATCAAATCAATAGGAAAAAATTGCAGAAAATTCAAAAATGGCTTGGCCAGCTGATTTGAAAAATGTTCCGGAGGGCTTGGCAGCGAAAGGGTTAAAGGACTTAATAACCATTTTAATAAATTGTATTTCAAGTTTCCCTCTATTTTATGCTTTACTCCTTCAGTGTGTCAGGTCTGCCTGTTGTAATTAATCCATCTTTATGTTCAAGGTTCCACTCTTTCACCTCATGTATGAAGTTGCCAAGTCTTCCAACCAAGATTTTGTCTGCTCCAGTTTTGATAAATCCCCATCTATGTTTCTTCTGCCATAAAATATCTTCTGTCTGGTAGCGTTTTTTTTTTTTTGTGTGTAATTGTCCAATGGCAGCTGTGCATGCATAGCTCAGTGTGCAATCCTGGCATTTGCAAGATGGGAATAAGTGACAGCTGCCAGGGTAGATCAACTCCCATGTGCATGCACAGGAGTAAAGACATCCAAATCTGGCCAGCCAAGACTATAAAAAAAACTTCAGAACCTAGAAGAAAACAGGAAGAAGATGTAAGGGTCACCAGTGAGGGAGAAAAAGCTCCTGTGAGGCTGAAAACCTTAGTTCCACTCTAATGCCAAAGATACTATACAACTGTTCTTTGACAACCCGTAGTTTCTATAATGGAGCCAGGCTCTTAAGCACACCAGAAATTTTGTATGAAATTTCAAAAACGGTCCAGTCTCATTAATTCTAAGTCCTTTTTTTAAAAACAATACAGACTAATGATTTTAGGGCAGTTTCTTTTTAATTATGAAGAAATGTAACTCAATCCATGATTATTCAGCAATGGAGAATGAAAACCAGCAACATCGGACTACAAATCCCACATCAATTCATGAATATACAGCAATGGAGAATAGCAAATAATTCTTGCCATCGAATGCCAAGACCAAATATAGCAGCAAATTTAACCGCATCAGTAAACATTAGTTAAATTGACAATCGCTTACTGATTTGCCTACCTAAATATTTTTTTTTTACCATTTTAGGACATTTAAGGCTTTCATTTGTACACAGTTTTAATACATATCCTGTTCAGTTTGTATTATTATTAACTGAAAAATTTTATAAAACACTGTAATTGTTTTTGAGGTATCTTAAATACCCTATTGACCATTGTGTTTGTCCCATGAATAGGAGCAAAACGAGTTCTGGATCTAGATAACTACAGAGAAGAAAAGGGAAGGTCTTTTTTCTCCAACACCATAGGCCATTCAATGGATTACTCCCTGGGAGAAGCTCTTTGGCAATGCTCAAACCTCTTTAGCAATGTTAAGTTGAAACTGAGTCATAAACGTATTATGCTGTTCACCAATGAAGACAATCCACATTTCACTGATGCTGCCAAAACCACACAAGCAAGAGCCAAGGCAAGAGACCTTCGTGAAACCGGTAAGAAAAGAGATGTTGGTACTTGTGTAGTGTTAAGACATAACAAGGGTCTCAAATGTGTGCTGAACTTGATATCTCCCTTTTCTGTCCCAAAAGGAGAAATTATTCAGTGTATCAATTTTTGGATTTTATCATGTAGAAAGTGTGGAAGCTTCCTAAAAGGTTCTTGCTGTAGATTAGAGTACTTTGCATGAACTGTATTTTCATACCTGCAGCAGCTTTTACTGACCCTGCTCTGCCAGGCCATTTTGTCAAAGCTTTGGCACTTCCAGGTAGTGTTGACAGTTGTCTGCTGTAGGGATGCACCGATATATCGGCCGCCGAAACATATTGGCCAAAAATGGCACTTTAGCCGTAAATTTTTTTTTTTTTTCGTTTCGGTTTTAAAATGTCCATTTTGGTGCACCTCTAGTCTGCCTTCCTCACAAACATTCTGTCCTATTGACCAGTAAGGGGTCATCCCTATGGATGCAAATACAGGCGTTTAGGCATACAGTGGTAAACAAACTACTGTATTTGCAGCTCCCTGGAGCCTCAGCTACTGCATAGGATTATATAGACGCAATGCTCTGTTTACAGGTATAAACGTACAAATGCAAGTATTGGTGTTTGCACGTGCAAGCTCATGGGCATAAGTTTGCAAATAGAAAACGTTAGCGAAATGCCAAGATTTGACCATAACATATGCATTATGTGCTCTTTCTACTGTATGTCATCTAGGGCTGCAACTAACGATTATTTACATAATTAGTTGGCCGATTTTTCGATTTTAATCGGATAAAAAATAATTAAATAGTATCTTTTATCTAAAATAAAAAACACAAATGGAGTGTTAGAAACCTAAAGTTTACTTCAGATTAAAACCTTACCTAACCTTAACTCTGAAATGTTTGTGTCATGCAGAATACTTTGTATTTATTATCCATTAAAACTTTTTCAAATTGTGAGTCTGTAGGAAACCTGTTATGAGAACCAGTGAGAGTGCAGGTGCTGACCACTCTGAAACAGACTTGTTTTTGTCAGTTATGCTGACCCTCCTGCTTGAATACTTAGCCACTGATCCAGAGCATGTATATGGGGGAAAAAAAGCTTCTCGCTTTCCTAATCTGTAGACTTGTTCCAGGTTAGTGATACAGCAAGTACTGAAGATTTGGGGTCATTAGAATAGTCAGGCAACTAGCATTTGTAAAAAGATCTGCCCCCATATTTCCACCAAGAGAAATTTATTTTGGATAATCGCTTACCTTGATTATTTAGAAGACCCATTCAAGAACATTACTGTCTCAGCCTGGTGGTTCTTCCCCGTGTAGGTTGGCAGCACTTAAGAGAATTGTATGACGTTTTACTTGTTGTACTTGGTATAAAATAGGCATTTTCCTTGTGGAAACGTCTTCACATGAACATTGTGTTGGATTTGAGTTGTATGTCATATATTTTCAGGTATCATCTTGGATCTATTGCACCTTGAAAAGCCTGGTGGTTTTAACATCTCTCTATTCTATCGTGATATTGTAAACACTGATGAGGATGAGGATCTTGGTGTTCAGCATTCGGCTTCCAGGAAATTGGATGACCTAATGAGAAGAGTGCGGGCCAAAGAAAGCAAAAAGCGGGCTCTATGCAGGTACTTTTATTTGTTTAAAAATAATTTCAGGTATGTTGTGATTATTCTGTTGATTTTTAAAAAATAACTATATTTAGTTTTAGACAGAATATGAGAGATTAAAATGAAATTGCCCTTCCAGTATGAATTATACATTTTTACTTGGCTATGCATCCTCCCAAGTCTTGTTCCTTCAATATTGCTACAGTCCCCTGGCTTTGTGAATACGTCCTGTACTGCTGTGGCCACGTTGCTCCTGGAGGATGGTTTGTTGGTTCAGTCTAATGCAGAGCAGGTAATCCAACTCCACTGGTTTCAGTACTTTGAGTCAGTTATCCAAAGTAAGTATGCTGAAAGTCATAGAAATGTTAGAACTCTACTGCTCACTTTTTCTGGGTCATTGACTTAAAGCCCTGAAGCCAGCAGATCAACATGCCAGCCAAGCCAAAAGCATGTATGTATATATATATATATATAAGGCCAGTATGGGCAGCCTTCATGGTATGCCTACTCCAATGGTGAAGCCTGTTTATTTTATTATGAGGTTGGGCTGTGGACAAGCCAGCAACTGTAATATCCCTTTAAGGAGGAAGATGGAACTCAGCTGCGGAGACACGTTAGCAGTCACGCGCTCAAGCCCAAGAGTATGTGGTGGCAATGGTTAACTTGCCCAAACAACCTCAATGCATCATAGTACAATCTTCCAATAAGAAATTAAATAGCCTAAAGGTGGTCATACACTTTACAACCATCGCAAGACCTTAGTCTTGCGATGGTTGTAAAGTAATTAAAAAAACGTACGATCTGCCCATCTTGGACAGGCAGATCATACTTGCGATCATTGCAAGCCCGCCCCCTGAGGGGCGGGCTTCCGATGACCGCAATGCTGAACGGGCAGTGTGCGCATGCGGCATTGATCTTACAATCAAGGTAAAAACCACCCGAAAATCGTGCAATTCTCGGCTGGTTTTCTAGCATGCTCCTTAGACAAAAGACATGCGACCGTACAGTAGAAACGGTCGCACGTCTTCATTCACACTGCACGATTCTCGTACGATCGCGCGATTTCCCGCGATTCTCGTATGAGAATCGTGCAGTGTATGGGCACCTTATCTGTCTCTAGTGTGGCGTATAATTAATCGGGAATTGGGTGATACCCAATTCCCGATTCCCCGTCAATTATCCTAGCAATCACAGCAGGGTTGTATGTTTACTTCACAGTACAACACAAGTGGTGTATTTATCATTATCTAGTTGAGCTAGTATGGTGCTAGTATGTTAACCTCACATATGCACAGTATATGGAAGAGCTTATAACTTGCAGGCAGTATTTAACATGAGAAGTTATGTTTACAGAGAAATAATTCAGTAAGCTCCCTGTGGTGTTCAGCCCCAGGAGGTTTATTTTTACTGTAACAATCTGTCAAAATAAATAATGTGGTGGCACAGATAATAGAACAGGAAATGGAAACTATAAAAAAGTATTAATGCCAAATTTAGAATTCATTCTGTGGGCGTGTAGCAAATATATATTTGTTGTAACCATATTGGCCTTTAGTTAAAGCATTTCTTTTTTTCTGAGATGTCAACTCAATGTTTTATTTTAATCCATTGCAGACTCTCATTGAAGTTGGGTGATGATGTCAGTCTTACGGTTGGTGTTTATAACCTGTTGCAGAAAGCTATGAAGCCACCTCCCGTCAAGCTTTACCGCGAGTCCAATGAGCCTGTAAAAACCAAAACACGTTCTTTCAATAGGGAGAATGGAAGTTTGCTTCTACCCAGTGACACAAAAAGATCACAGGTACAGACAGAACAAAAAATAAACAATAAGGTGATCAGCGCCAGTAAGTGTAAATGTGAAAATAAGAGCTACTAAGCACTAAGGATATAACTAAATATCTGGAAAATGTGAAAAACAATTTTGTGCCGAGCTAATAATCATACACATCTAATAAATAGAAACATATATAAATGCGTCACATATATGAGCCTTCAACCAAATGAAGCATTGAAAATAGCTACACACAGACAAAAAAGCAATATAGACAAAAAGAGTCCCAGGAAAAAACAAAAGCAAACAATAGTGATTGTGCAAAAAAATTCCTCAGATGATTTGCAGCCAATCTGCATGTAACTCTCAGGTAAGGATAATCACACAATGCAAGCAGACCTTCACCTCCACCCAGTGAGTGATGACAACAAGTGAGTGCTCACCTGGGGAGGTAGACCCACAGAGCTAGGTCAAATGCGCTTTTTCCCTTCTTAATGGGGGAAGGAAGCCCATGCACAGAAAAGGCGATAAGGTCTCCTAAGATCACAGGTACCAGCATAAATCCAGGTGGAAAGAGAAAAAGGACAAGGACATAGTACGTAACGTGCAATAAAATGCAATTTATTAAATAAAAAATGCGTACTCACAATGGTGTAAACAGTACAAGCATTGGGTATTGCTGGATCCAACCAGCAAGGCAAATGGCAGCTAAGTAATAAAAAAACAGTTCGTCCGGCTCAGTGCAGTGACATCAGAAGCTTCTGATGTCACTGCACTGAGCTGAGCCGGACGAACGGGTTTTTCATTACTTTGCTGCCATTTGCCTTGCTGGTTGGAGCTTCTGATGTTAGCCGTCACGGACATCGACGTCACCGGACTCCTCCCCCCCTTCCCTTCGTTAGCCGACAAATCCACTTGGGGAAGGGGGGAGGTGTCCATGATGCAATTCATTTCAAGTTCTAATAGGTTTTGGTAATGCTTGAAAAAAATGAGACAATTGATAATAATGCCACCTATCCATTACATTGGGAGAAGAAGATTTACAGATCATTGACAGGGGTTTCAGCAACGCCCTATCTATAATATGATGTAAAACGAGTGACTCATCATCTACCCATCCACTATAATATTGGTCTGATAGACCCGGTGGGAAATAATGATGGCCCAACAAAGGCATTAGCGGAGAGTTATATAACCATCCATCCCATACATTTAGTGTGTTTAGGATGGGATTCCCTGGACAAACACCTATATTTTTTGGGGTATCCAGCCAATTACACTCAGATCTACTTCATGCATATCATTCCATATTCTACAGAAACCCATAGTTTAGAAAGCTTATCATATTGCCAGTTCAACATTTTGCATAAAACTACAGCATGATGATAATGTTTAAAATCGGGTAACGCCAGCCCCCATATGTCTTTGCTCTAGTTAGCAGACCGTCAGATATTCTTGCTCTCCTTATGTTATAGAACATAGTGTTCTAAAAAAAACAACTAGGAGGGTGTGCTATTGGCAACATCTGGAACAAGAAGAGAACCCTTGGCAGGACATTCATTTTTATTGTGTTAATTCTACCAATGCATGAATATGGAAAAGCAGTTCATTGATGTAGATTTTGTCGAACCTGGTTCAAAAGCGGAATAAAGCTATAACAAAACAACTCTCTATAACAGGGAGTAAGATACACTCCCAAATATTTCAACTTATGTGGCTGCCAAAAAAAGGTAAAGTTTGGTCTTGGAATGTCCACTTTCTAGATGGTACGTTCATGTTAAGTATTTCCGATTTTGCAAGCTTAATCTTAAAATTCGACAATTCTTCATATTCCTGTAATTCTGACAATACGTTTGGAATAGAAATATGAGGTGGTTGTATATAAAATAAAATACCATCTGCATAAGCAGCATATTTATGTTACCTCTTTCCTATCTTCACTCCATGAATATCAGAATTTGTATATGAGAAAGGAAAGGCTCCAGTGAGATTATAAACAAAAGAGGGGAGAGGGGGCACCCCTGACGTGTGCCATTCTCTAGGGTAAAGCTTTCACTAAGCATGCCATTAATTCGGGCCTGAGCACTCGGTTTATCATATAATGCTGTGATCCAACTCATCATTTTAATACCCAATCCCATATGCTGTAAAGTAGGCATTAGATAGTCCCAGGCCACCGTATCAAATGCTTTTTCAACATCTGTAGATGACAAAAGGATGGGCTGGGACATCCGAATATACTTATGTCACAAGCGCAAGGCTCCGCAATTATACATTGATCTGAACACCAGATCACCACCCACATTGTCTGATTGTACAATCACCAACGAGTATATAAAGCTGGCCATACACTCTGCGATTTTCATTCGGGAATTTTCATTGTGTCCAAGAACCCTCTTTCTATTCTACCTCAAATAGCCCATCAAAGTCGTTTCGATAATCATTTGTTAGCAATACTAACTCGCCGAATTTCAGCGATCGACAGAACAGATTTTCATTTGCGCTTGTGTAGTGTTCATGATGTGATTTATTTTTATTTTTTTCTTCGGAAACCCCCTCTAATCCATCTATTATTTTGGAAAATTCCAGCCTGACCGATCGAGAAAATTTGGCCAGGAGTACAGTAAAAAGAAATTGTTGGGTTCCCATCAACTGATCGATTTCTGAACGATAATTGATAGGTGTATGGGCACCTTTACAAGGGTCTGCCTGATTGAATACAGATTGATTGATTGGTTAAGGTAGTTTTGATAAATCTGAGGTTGATTTAACAGTCAGTAGCATGTATGTTCAGCATAACATGCTTTATTTTATTTTTTTACTTATACAAGCACTCTTTCTGGTCACAGGTTCCCATTAGGTCAATAATTGCGTGTAACAAGCCTTGTTTGCAGTATGTGAAATCCACATTCTTAGACTGCAGTAGGTGTGATTGCAATATTATCATTACATATACTAATATACATGTGCTTGGAGTGTGGGAGGAAACCAGAGTACCTGGAAGAAACCTATGCAAGCAGAGGGAGAACATGCAAACTCCATGCAGATAGTGTCCTGACCACTGTGCAGCCCCATACAGCCTTTATCTACAGATAACCACAAATGCAGTTGAAGGTTCTTTGGCTGCAATGGAAAAAATGTTTTGTTCCCTGGAGCTCCGATATACCATATATATCCCTTTATGTTTATTGGGATAGGTCATCCAGGTCATGTAACCAGGGGTAATGAGCACAAAAAAATGGTAACAGTGTTTTCAAAAGAAAGGGCACTGTGAAAGATGGTTACTGAATAGACCGAGACCTCTATGCTTTCTTGTAAAAGTATAAACTTTATTAGTTACAAAATCTCATATTCAGCACCTGTTACTCCATTTCTACAAAAATCTTCATAAAAGAACAACGTTGTCCATAACATTCATACATGCATTCTTCCATACATACTATGCACTCACACAGATTACGGCAAATAATATCTTCAAAATTTCTAAAGGGGGAATTCTCCCAATATAACTCTTGGTCCCTCTCGGTACTTTTATTCCTGCTTTTGAAGATGCAAAAAATACAAAAATAAGGGGGGAGGGGGGGGAATCTGAACTGTAGTTTTACTTTAAGATATAGGTCTGACCTATTTGTGGCACCTGATACATAAAAAGTATAATGAAATAGGGACTGTTTGTCTGTAATTGAGGAGAGGAAGTCTCTATAAACAGTACAATTTGAGGCAGAAACAATCCACTATAATTATGTATATATGCTCTGGTCTCAGTATATCAACCCTTTTGATGAGTGAATTCGTTTAGAGAGTCTCAATTATTTTGTTTTTTTAGAGTTATTCAAACTTTCCCAGTGCAGTGAAGTTCCTCCTGATGTAGGATCTATTTCAAGGGGGAGACCTGTGCGGGACCAGTGGAGCTTGTATAATAGTCGACCGTACTCACAGTTAGCTGAATCCAGGAAGTTCCGTTTGTTCAACACTATCACCAGCAATTAATTCGTCTGTGGCTTTTCCAGATCCCAGGATTTTTCTTAATACCTTAGTCCGTTTATTGTCCTCCTTTTTTAGGCCGAGGAGTTTCCTTAGTTAAGCACTATTTTCAGTAACTGGTTGGTCTATGGTTGTTCCAATACCTCAGGATTTTTCGGTACTTCAACACAATTTGTTAATAACTTAGAGAGTCTCAATTATTTTGTTTTTTTAGAGTTATTCAAACTTTCTAGTGCAGTGAAGTTCCTCCTAATGTAGGATCTATTTCAAGGGGGAGACCTGTGCGGGACCAGTGGAGCTTGTATAATAGTCGACCGTACTCACAGTTAGCTGTCTCGTACCCCTCCTTTTTTCGAATCCAGGAAGTTCCGTTTGTTCAACACTATCACCAGCAATAAATTCGTCTGTGGCTTTTCCAGATCCCAGGATTTTTCTTAATACCTCTGCGAGGTTAGTCCGTTTATTGTCCTCCTTTTTGGGGCCGAGGAGTTTCCTTAGTTAAGCACTATTTTCAGTAACTGGTTGGTCTATGGTTGTTCCAATACCTCACGAGAAATACCCCTCTAAAATTAAAATCAAAAACAATGCCAACATTGACAAATAATAGACATATTGCCCTCTTTAAGGACTTGGTCGAAAAAGACTTAAAGGTAACCACCTGGGATATAAAAGGACAGGATAATTTAAACCCTATGGAAAGAAAAGCATTAAAAGAACTGAAAGACATACCTGGACTGATAATAAAAAATAGCGACAAAGGGGGGAATGTGGTTCTAATGACAGAAAGGATGTACGTTATGGAAGCCAAACGCCTTTTGAATGACAGAGATACATATGAGAGATTGGATAGTTCCCCCTTTAAGAAACGAATCTGTGACTATAATTATAAAATAGACATAGCAAGAGATGTGAGATTACTGTCAAAAAAGGAATCTGGCTTCCTAACGAACACATTCAATACCCCTACATTTTATACTATCCCAAAGATCCATAAAAACAACACAAACCCACCAGGGAGACCCATAGTGTCAGCAGTGGGTGGCCCCTGGAAAATCTAGGGAAGTACTTAGACCACC